AGCTATCTATAACACTCCACTGGTATCCATAACACTCCATAGCTATCAATAACACTCCACTGGTATCCATAACACTCCATAGCTATCTATAACACTCCACTTGTATCCATAACACTCCATAGCTATCTATAACACCCCACTGGTATCCATAGCACTCCATAGCTATCGATAACACTCCACTGGTATCCATAACACTCCATAGCTATCTATAACACTGCACTGGTATCCATAGCACTCCATAGCTATCGATAACACTCCACTGGTATCCATAACACTCCATAGCTCTCTATAACTTTCCATAGGTATCTACAACACTCAATAGCTATCTATAACACTCCACTGGTATCCATAACACTCCATAGCTATCGATAACACTCCACTGGTATCCATAACACTCCATAGCTCTCTATAACACTCCATTGGTATCTACAACACTCCATAGCTATCTATAACACTCCACTGGTATCCATAGCACTCCATAGCTCTCTATAACACTCCACTGGTATCCATAACACTCCATAGCTATCTATAACACTCCACTGGTTTCCATCGCACTCCATAGCTATCGATAACGCTTCAATGGTATCCATAGCACTCCATAGCTATCGACAACACTCCACTGGTATCCATGGTACTCCATAGCTATCGATAACACTCCACTGGTATCCATAACACTCCATAGCTATCTATAGCACTCCACTGGTATCCATAACACTCCATAGCTATCTATAACACTCCACTGGTATCCATAACACCCCATAGCTATCTATAACACTCCATAGGTATCCAAAACACTCCATAACACTCCATATCTATCTATAACACTCCACTGGTATCCATAACACTCCATAGCTATCTATAACACTCCACTGGTATCCATAGCACTCCATAGCTATCGTTAACACTCCACTGGTATCCATAACACTCCATAGCTCTCTATAACACTCCATAGGTATCTACAACACTCCATAGCTATCTATAACACTCCACTGGTATCCATAACACTCCATAGCTATCGATAACACTCCACTGGTATCCATAACACTCCATAGCTCTCTATAACACTCCATAGGTATCTACAACACTCCATAGCTATCTATAACACTCCACTGGTATCCATAACACTCCATAGCTATCTATAACACTCCACTGGTATCCATAACACTCCATAGCTATCTATAACACTCCACTGGTATCCATAACACTCCATAGCTATCTATAACACTCCACTGGTATCCATAGCACTCCATAGCTATCGATAACGCTCCACTGGTAACCATAACACTCCATAGCTTTCTATGACACTCCACTGGTATCCATAGCAGCCAATAGCTATCGACAACACTCCACTGGTATCCATAACGCTCCATAGCTATCTATAGCACTCCACTGGTATCCATAACACTCCATAGCTCTCTATAACACTCCACTGGTACCATAACACTCCATAGCTATCGATAACACTCCACTGGTATCTATAACATTCCATGGCTATCTATAACACTCCACTGGTATCCATAACACTCCATAGCTATCTATAACACTCCATTGGTATCTATAGCACTTCATAGGTATCTATAACCCACCACTGGTATCTATAACGCTCCATAGCTATCTATTGCACTCCAGAGGTATCTATAACACTCCGGAGGTATCTATGACGTTCCAGAGGTATCTATAGCACTTCATAGCTATCTATAACACTCCATGGGTATCTATAACACTCCACTGGTGTCTATAACGCTCCGTAGCTATCTATAACGCTCCATAGGTATCTATAACGCTCCATAGGTATCTATGGCACTCGATAGGTGTATATAACAATCCATAGGTATCTTTAACACTCCAGTGGTGTCTAAAACGCTCCATAGCTATCTATAACTCTCCATAGGTATATATAACACGCCATAGGTATCTATAACTCTCTGCTGTTATCTATAATTCTCCATAGCTGTCTATAACTCTCCAGAGGTATCTAGAACACTGCATAGCTAACTATCGGACTCCATAGGTATCTATAACGCTCCATTGCTGTATATAACACTCCATAAGTATATACAACACTCCATAGGTATCTATAACGCTCCACTGGTATCTATTACGCTCCATAGCTATCTATAACGCTTGTTGTTCTTCTTCTTAATCTAGGTAATTATTTTAGTACTTTTTATCTACTATGTTAATGTCTTTTTCATTGAACAAATAATCTATTATACTGACGTGCACAGCACAACTTTCATAAGTTATGATTGACGGAAATTAGTGAATGCATGGTAACAATAGTACAGATTTAGATAGCAGTTCAGAAGAAAATTTTCATGATTTTATAAGTACCCATTTGACAAGCCTAAAGGGAAGGACAATTTGGGCAGCGGATATCTAATCTCCGCGGCGGGTACACATGAAAAATTCGAATTCAGTATCAAATGAATTAATGTATAAATATTCCGATTTTAATTAAAGATGCTTTAAAAATTATTTATCTAACATATATACCGTAGAGGCGTAGAACTCTTCGCAATAATCATATATTACCAGGCCTCTGCCTTGACCAAGTTAGCCTGCGTGTCAGGCTCTATGGTTGAAATTGAGCCTGCCACTGAAGTCGGTGAAAAGTGGACAGTGATAACGAAAGTAACAACCAATCAAAACGGCGATTTTTAGTTAGATTGTCGAAGCAAAAACGGTCAATTTTTCCGCCAATATCTCGAAAATAAATATCCCAATTTTCAGTAAAAGGCCATTAATTACATACTAAAAAATAATAACGGTTATTGACCGTGTTTATAGACAGCAAAGGCAGTTATTATAATGCGCCCAAATGTACAATTACCAGTACGGAATATCCATATTATGTAAACAACAAATTGATATTACCTTATAAGGCAAGGCTATTTATTCATGACCAATGGGAATTTTGCGTTTGATTCGTACGCATAAATCCACTTTTTATTAACTTTAGTAGCAGATATAGGCTCTATTTCGAGCATAGAACCTGACACGCAGGCTATGACGAAGTCGGTCCCTTGGTCAAATACTCAAACGAATTGTGAACAAGTTAGATGGTAAACAGTATTTGCCTGCATTTCGACAAATCACGCGCGTTGTGTATATATATACGTGCTATTTCAAGCCTGACACGCAATGAAGTAGTGCCTCGTTTTGGTAGTGCCTCGTTTATAGTGTTAAACAGGTAGATCGTATCAAGATCTACCAGTTTAACACTATAAGTTACCCCAACAGTGTTAATTTCGGATTAATCAAGAAATTTTTAACCAGGGTATTTCTATTTAGATATGCATATAGGCTTATAGAAAAAATCATTTTTTGAGTTAGTGCATGGCAGTAATGGTGGAGCTAGAATATTATGGTTTATTTATCTCTTCTATTAAATATCATCGCACAATCTTAATAACTTACTGACCGAGCGAGAGGGCAGTACCGGAATATATCCATGCGAGGGCAACGTAGAAAGTTCGAAACATTTCAAAAAAAAAATTGTAAAAAATGTTCTCTTGGTCACTAAAACTCCTCTATGACTATAGCAATTTTTATATCGAACACTAACACAGTTTTGATAGTATTTCAAGAAAAGTACGAGGCATTTCATTATTTAATCAAGGACAACAAATATGAAAAGAATTAAATTAATAACGGTATGGACAAGTTATTTGACAATTAGTACGTTTTTAGTTCGCCTCATATTTATGTCTCTTTTTATCTAACAAAAACAGAAATTTTAAGGAAAAATTATAAATCTGTGGCTGCATGCAGATACCTATGGAGTGTTATAGATAGCTATGGAGTGTTATGGATACCAGTGGAGTGTTATCGATAGCTATGGAGTGTTATGGATACCAGTGGAGTGTTATAGATAGCTATGGAGTGCTATGGATACCAGTGGAGTGTTATAGATAGCTATGGAGTGTTATGGATACCAGTGGCGTGTTATCGATAGCTATGGAGTGCTAGGGATACCAGTGGAGTGTAATAGATAGCTATGAAGTGTTGTAGAGAGTTATGGAGTGTTATAGAGAGCTATGGAGTGTTATGGATACCAGTGGAGTATTATAGATAGCTATGGAGTGTTATGGATACCAGTGGAGTGTTCTAGATAGCTGTGGAGTGTTATGGATACCAGTGAAGTGTTATAGATAGCTATGGAGTGGTATGGATACCAGTGGAGTGTTATAGATAGCTATGGAGTGTTGTGGATAGTTATGGAGTGTTATAGAGAGCTTTGGAGTGCTATGGATAGCAGTGGAGTGTTATAGATAGCTATGGAGTGTTATGGATACCAGTGGAGTGCTATAGATAGCTATGGAGTGTTATGGATACCAGTGGATTGCTATAGATAGCTATGGAGCGTTATGGATACCAGTGGAGTGTTATAGATAGCTATGGAGCGTTATGGATACAAGTGGAGTGTTATAGATAGCTATGGAGTGTTACGGATACCAGTGGAGTGTTATAGATAGCTATGGAGTGTTATGGATACCAGTGGAGTGCTATAGATAGCTATGGAGTGTTATGGATACCAGTGGAGTGCTATAGATAGCTATGGAGTGTTATGGATACCAGTGGAGTGCTATAGATAGCTATGGACTGTTATGGATACCAGTGGAGTGCTATAGATAGCTATGGAGCGTTATGGATACCAGTGGAGTGTTATAGACAGCTATGGAGTGTTGTGGATAGTTATTGAGTGTTATAGAGAGCTTTGGAGTGCTATGGATACCAGTGGAGTGTTATAGATAGCTATGGAGTGTTATGGACACCAGTGGAGTGTTATAGATAGCTATGGAGTGTTATGGATACCAGTGGAGTGTTATAGATAGTTATGGAGTGTTATGGATACCAGTGGAGTGCTATAGATATCTATGGAGTGTTATGGATACCAGTGGAGCGTTATGGATAGCTATGGAGTGTTATGGATACCAGTGGAGTGTTATAGATAGCTATGGAGTGTTATGGATACCAATGGAGTGCTATAGATAGCTATGGAGTGTTATGGATACCCGTGGAATGTTATAGATAGCTATGGAGTGTTATGGATACCAGTGGAGTGTTATAGATAGCTATGGAGTGTTATGGATACCAGTGGAGTGTTATCGATAGCTATGGAG